TTATTATATATTCTTTTTTGAGGAAAGAAAACATCAAGAAGTCATCTCCATCACAGTAAAATTGTGATGGAGATGACTGTGACGGAGATGAGGAATTAAAATTGTTAGATCATACAGTGCCATATGCAGTGTGTTACAGGGTGAATGTCATGTGTACTTTGAAAATGACACAGTTCTGATCGTATATATAATTATATTTTTCGAAAAAAATTATAAATAAAGCATACTCTGAAGCGTTCGGAGATGATGCTGAATAAAGGTACTTTCCTAGTTGTTATTTGAAAAGCATGAATTCTTCAGCTATAGGTGGTTTAACTGTACAAGAATGGGCTGTTTCTTACTGTATGGTCCCCTTCAACCAAAATGGTTTGATCCATAACTTGTTATGTCATTTTGCTAACAGCTATAGTGGCATTTTAAAGTATTGTGACGGAGATGATGACAATTCAGGGACAAACTTTTTTAGTCTAAAAAAGTCAAATTTTAAGTATTTATAGATCTATTGATGTCATTTTTAATTTTAAATTTGTAAGACATCTATTGTATTCACCTTTTTGTAGTACAGTAATTTATTTAGGTTATTTATTTTACAAATTATGACATTAGGAATTTTTAAGAAATCCAATCGGGACATGCAAAGTGCGCGACTTTGGAGGCTTTTTGTTGAAAAATAAACAGCATGTTGATTACTTTTAAAATATTTAACAACTTATTTAATTAACAAATACGTTCAAGATTGCATTAACGCAATAAAAATAAAACTTCCTTTAATATTTTAAAATTCATACTACATCAAAACAGAGGGAAGGGAAAATGGCACTTTACTGAAGAATGACCCCTTTACGTTTGACAAACGCTCATAATTTTCTGTTTTTGTAATTTGTATGTAACTCTATCATGATTGTTATGGTGATGTCAATTGGTATTGTTAGGGCACCAACTATTCAATCTAAATTAAATCGTGGAACTAGAGTTTAATTCAATTATAATTATTGGTATTTCAGAATACGTACGGTACTGTATACATTCTGTTTTAGTAGGCCTATGTATTGCTGGATCATGATGTATTGTTATTGTTGCAGAGATAATAATGATTCAATACGATTAATAATTATTAATAATGATTTAAGTAGTAATATTTTATAATAATAAATAATAATAATAATAATAATAATAATAATAATAATAATAATAATAAATAATAATAAATAATAATAATAATAATAATAATAATCATAATCATAATCATAATCATCATCATCATCATCATCTTTAAGGCGTGGATCCACTCAATAAAGAGCTGTCTGTCTGTGGTTCCATTCCACATCTTGAGTAAGCAAATAACACCTTTACAAAATGATTAATTCAACATCATAGCACCGAGAAGGCAGTGTTGGGTTA